AACCACCACCAGCACCACCTCCACGGCTACCGAGGTATGAGACTATGTGGGACGGTGAAAGCCTCGTTCGGGCTCCAAATCTTACCAGACAAATCGCAAGACGGGTTACCTTTAAGGAGACGGTGATCGTAAGGGAACCAACTACGGTCTTTCGATGTTCGCCTGTCCAACGGTGCAAGCTATATCGTTCCTCCTCCCCTTCCCTAGCCTCGGTCTCCTCCCGTGGATCCTCCCCTTCTTATTCCTTCAGTAGTGGTCGTGATTCCTCGAGCGCATCGTCCGAATCATCCACTTGTACTTCCCCCTCCTCGTCCACAGCCACGTTTCGGTCTTCCTCTGATACGTCATCAATAGAATCAGACTCTTGGGAAGGTGGATTTGGAGTGGTCGACATACTAAAGCATTCCGTGTCATGGGATGTGTCAGGTGAGTTCAACCTGTCTAGACAGATAAGCTGTTCCTTCGAGTGACCTGTCAGTATCTTAGGTGTCACGTCGTCATGTAAACGCCTCATTCTGAGAAAGTGGCTATTTGACTTGCAACTGATACCACTTCGAATAGTCTCACATTTTACATAAATTATATACCATCCTCAAGAATTTGGTCAACCAATTTGTAAAATCTCCTTCAGCTTGCATGCAAATTTCCTTAAGGTCGCTACTCGGTTTACATCCAGGGTGAGGGTGCATCTCACACGCTACAATTCTGAAATTAGTGTTCACTTTTGCCCTGATGAGCAAAAATTGGTATTTTTTAAAGATTTGCATCAAAATTTGAATTATGCACAACAATCATTGCAAAAAAAATTATAAATCATTGAAGCGGTATTCTTAATGGTAGAAGAATGCTACTGAAATAGGTACGACTTAGTTTCCAGTTGGACAAAAAGGCAGCATTTCAAATTTCAAATTTTACTTGGTCTCTGTTGCAAGGAAATCATCCTATGGAGTTTGCAATAAGACCGTGGAAAAATTACGATTCTCATTAAACCAAAATCTGTGTCGAAATGGCCTTGTAGCCTCTCTTTTGTGGATAAAATGTCTTCAAAACAAAGCGTAGGTCCTTTCGGTGCTTTGACGCTAAAAAGCGCCAATGACTCAGAGCATTGCAATACGGTTTAAGACTTGGATTCAGGCGCTCATTTTTGGTTTTTTGTTGCAAGCTGGGCGGTGCTCATGTGTTTGAACACCATTAGCTGTTGAATTACCGAGAAGACAGGCGTCGGCCTTTTATCGCCTACCTAAGCAGGGCAACGGAAGCCCATTTCCGATGCTTTATTCCACCTTTTCCCTTGTGCACATTTCTGGTGTTGCCTGACTCAAGGGCGAAGTGCGCTTTGTCCTCCAGTCGTTCTATTAAGCATTTTTTTACAGCTTCTCATAAAACTTGCCGATGAACGACGACATTCTAGTACATTATCTAATTCAAAATCTAAGCTGACATTTGCAATTGTTATAGCGCTTTCCTTTCTTCCATTTTATTCCC